AATGGCACGTATTTGACCAAAGTCCGCAACAAGAAGATTGTGTTTGATGGCAAGACTTTAAATGACTGTGCTGGGTTTAATGACGAGGATAAGTCTCTGTATCTAGATAAGGTAGCTATGGATGAGTTAGCCCGCCCTTGGCTTGCATCAGTAATTGTTATTCCTGGGACTACTCCAGCTTGGCTGACACCTGGGGTCCCGATCTATAGGAACACTCTGAGCTTTGAAGCGAAGGGGTGGTCTACTTTTGTGTGCAACCATTTAGACCCTACTACAGATGACAATGAAATACTGGTCTCCCGGGCTATTATTGTGGGGGCTATCATGGCGGGGTACCCGATCAACATCCGGAATATTATGGCCAAGGTGATTAACAGAGCGGTTGGCAAAGATGAGAGTTCATATCCCTTCCCAAACTTTCTCACCATGTACCTAGAGGATCAGGAAGTAGAAGGAAGGTACTTTAGCACCAAAGTGAAACCAAAGAGGCCTCTTTCCTGGTACAGCCTGCAGGTCCCGGACAACCCCAAGTCTAAGGGCAAAGCCACCACTTCCACTGGCCAGTCTGAAGAGCCAGGGGTGGTGGCCATTGGTTTCGAGCCTTCCACTGCCATGCTACATCCGTCCTCCGGACCATCTGCTTCTATTCCTACTTCAGTGCCTTCTTCATCAGCATACCCTCTGACTGCACTGCGGGTTAATCAGACTCTATCCAGCATAAACAACTGGATGCAGGCAGCTACATCAAAGTTGTCTGTCCTATCTAGCACAGTGGCAGCTCAGTCAGCTCCGGCACAGCCTCAGGTGCCTACTTCAGTGGAGGAATCGCTAAAGGAGCTTCTAGACAACCAGAAGAAGCTCCTGGACAACTAGAAGCTTATCATGGATACTTTGGATGCATAAGGTAAAGCAATCAAGGACCTGGGCAAACAAACGAAGAAGCTGAAAAAAGACTCGGGCCTCAAAGGAGTCAGTAAAGCTGCTGAGGAAGGAGGTTGAGAAGATTGCATCAGCTGGAGACATCCAACTGGACTTCCTCTTGGAGGAGCAAGTTCCAGCAGCATAGGCACCACAGCAGGAGGCTGACAGAGAACGGGTGAGAAGAGGAGTGATTCCTCAAACTGAGGGTCTGGAAATTGAGTTGGAGGACCCCGAGGGAGGTGACTCAGGCCAGCCACAGGACCCAGCCAGTGACCCCATGCAGACAAAGGCATCATAGGGAGTTTTCTTTACTCTCTACCCTTCCCCTATTCTATTTTTGCTAATAGCATTGAGGACAATTCTACTTTTTATTTGGGGGGAGGGGGTGGCCTTATTTTGATGATGATTTGGATATTTTGGATACTTGGTTTGTAATAACCTTGATACTATTTTCCGTTATTTTCGTACTTTTTACTTTTGGTATGTATATAAAGTTACCTTTCCATGTATATATTCATTCCCCTTTTATGCATATTCGTCTCAATCCTCTATTGTACATATTCAGTTTACTTCCCGTAGTTTACTTTATAACTTCTTACTTTTACAAGTTTTCGTGATCAATAAGCCTTTGGTTTTCTTAATGCCACGGTTCTTTCCAAAGGTGGAATTTGTGTGAACCGGGTGGCTCTTCCCGATGATGGATGGCGTGATAACCTTCTTAAGGGTTTGAGTCCGTTTTTCTTTATGTTTTTGTGTAAATAGTAGTAATGAATAAAAGTGTCTCAAGCAAAGCTTCACTTGGGCCTAGCACATTTACCTTTGACCTTATGGCTAGAAACAAGTTGATTTGCAAAGAATGGTGCTAGTTGCGATCTTTAGACTCTTGTGTTGGCTAAACAATCATCGAGTGGTTTCTCGGAGCCATTTGTGTTGCTCAATCTTAGCTAGGATTGTTGTGGGCCCTCGACTCTTTCTCATTAGCAATCCAATATCTTGTGAGGTGAGTTTTTTTATTTATTTGCAAGTCAAAGTCCTCTGCCAATAAGTCTAGAACTTGCCCCGAGTGTTAGTCTAGGCGAAATTCTAAGTGTAGCTCGACTTGAGAAATGAACATAGGCTCTCCTTGATCCAACTTGAAACTTGAAAGCATCCATAGCCCACCAAATATGATATCCCTAGTCAACCCCGTTGAGCTGAAGCCCTTGTTCTTTCAATAACCTTCATACAAGCCTCTATCCGTTCTAAAATGACCCTCTCTTGGCACCCAATCTTTCCTTAGCACAATTGGCAAAAGCATAAGTTTGGGGGGAGAGACGAGGAATGAAAAAGTGATAAAAGGTACAAAATGAAGAAAAGGAAAGGCAAAAGAAAAAGAAAGAAAAGCCTAAAAGTCAAAAAGAAAGTGAATAAAATAGAAACATGAAGGGATTCAATGAAAGCAATGATGAAAGGCTTGGGATGAGTTGAAAAAGGAGAAAAATGATTATCATGAACAAGAAAGAGTGACGACGTGTCTCTCTAGTCCCCTAAGGAAGAAGAAAATGACTCAAGGAGTCAAGAAAGTGTGAGCCGGAATAAGAAAACTAAAGTGCTTAAGGAAATAGGAAACCTTTACAGACCGATATATCCTATCTTTAACCAAAAGCCTTCATTACATTCCCGTAAAAGCCCTATACGATTTCAAGTTGAATGAGCTTACATTAGTGGTGATTTACATAAGGGGCAAGCTTATGGTACTTAGAGCCAGACTTGTGACTTTCCTTTGAGAGAGATGAGCGTATTGTCCACAATTCTTGTTTTGAGTGATACAATGTAAAGTGAGGTTTGCTTATGGAGAGTAGAGGAGTAAGAGTTTGGGTTCCATAATGACCTATGTAGTAGAAAGAGTTTCCTTGATGAATTAAGTCAACTCTTGATGCGTTTGTGTCGCATTAGAGCTATTGTACTAAAATTGTGTGTTGTTAATAATGCATTTGAGTTGAGGGTAATTGTTAGTCTCAATTGATGCTTGATGAAGTCACCCTAGGACAGCTGAAAATTTTCTTTTCTTTTATCTTGTGGAGGTGGGAATTACTTTGTTTGCTTGAGGACAAGCAAAAGCTTAAGTTTGGGGGAGTTGATAACTATGTATTTTAGCCTATCTTATGTTCTCTTTTGCTTAGGTTTTGGATAAAAATGTGTAAAAGTATTCCCGAAAACTGACTTAATGTGCTTGTCTGCAGGGTTTGGTCAAAATGAGGCAAGAAAGCCGAAATCAACTCATGAAGGAGTTAAAATTGCACAAGTTCAAAGCTGGGGCAGAAGCGCTGACCGCGATGGAAAAGCGCGGCCGCATAAAGTCCACCGCTGAAGCGGCCACAATTACGCGGTCCGCGAAAGTGATGTTCAGAAAAGGTGTTTGGAGACATCAGTGACCGCGGCCGCGGAATACCTGACGCGGCCGCGACGACATTTCTGCTGGGAGCGTTGATCAAAGTTCAGAGACCCTGCAAGTTGAGCCTGACTGAGGAGCGCGGTCCGCGTCTAAATTACGCATCTGCGGTTAACGCAGAGGCATCAACTTTTACGTTGCCCGCGAAATCAAGTCCAAACCAATCACAAAAGTGAAGAAATGCGGTCCGCGGTTGTTTTGCGCGGCCGCGAAAGGCTATACGCTGAGGCGCTCAGTATTCCGCTCACAACGGAACCTCCATAGGGGTATTTTTGTCCAGTAATTTCAGCTGTGTATAAATAGATCTTTTTCACATTTTTAGGGATCTTTTTGTTGGAGGAGCTCGTGAACAACCATATTTTACCACTTAGAGTAATTTTAGAGCAGCTTTAGCTACTATTCTTAGATTTTATTCTTGTAATCAACTTTTATGGCTTATATTTTATCTCCATCTTTGATTTCTACCTTGATTATGAGTAGCTAAACCCATTAGCTAGGGTTGGGTATTTAATGGGTCTTCAATTTTAGGGCTTAATTATTTATGGGTTAGTGATATTTAGTGTTACATCCCGTACCTTAGCATTAGGATGTGCCGTAGTAAATCCACATGAGTTCGAAGGGATTATGTCTATTAGGAGGTTATAGAGGGTTTAAGATATTATTATTATGAGACCCTGTAAGTTACAACCTTGATACCGTTAGATATTATGTTAATGTGGTATTTTCTTTTAAGTGAAGTATTTTAGTAAAAGTTTTATAAGTATAATTTTGGATAGTTACCATTATTACTATTTTCGAATATGATAAATTATACACCTAATATAAGAAAGTTTATGAGATTTTCCTTATTGTAAAGATAGAAATTATTTTGAAAGGATAAAAATCTCAATAACATTAAAGAAGATTGAAAAATGAATAATTTCCCATCTAGCATGGAGTAACAATTAGCTGTTCCAAATTAATATCTAAAGCAAAACCAAAGCTCTTACCATTTTCAAATACAAAGAAGAAACAATAACCACTAACACGAAGAAAGAATAACCATTAACACGAAGAAACATCAACGTGTCTTCGGTCAATTAACTATTTAACCAGGAACCTGTGAATTTAATTAGTTGGCAAGCAATAATATTAATAACAGTTAATGTTGAAAATCACGGCTCATAATGTGAATCTCTGTGCTATAAGTTTTATATTACAAACTTCTTGCTATAACTTGCTCTTTATGCAATCATTGTTACTAATTGGTTATTGGAATACTATTACATAGTTTTAATATGCATCTAATAATCGTATATGTGTTAATTTTATATGGTACCACATCACCATGATAGTAAAGTATATTATAGTAATATGTATAAAGTGTATCAAAAATAAGTGAAATTTTAAGTAATTTGAGACAATTCTTAATTATGCGGGTAATTGGTTAATTACCGGGTAATAGAATATTACCTAATCACCTAATAAATGGATAAAGATTAAAATTTCATATCTCACCCCTACGTGGCAGCTCTCCCGTGCCAAGAGTGTGACTCATAACTTGGACTGAAAGGTGGCACTTAGTGGTTCTCTTTGTTTGCTCTAGTTTTGACATGTTGAACTTGGGCCTTTTCATATTGAAAAAGATGGGAAGACCCTTTATTGAAATCCTTACTCTTGGAACTTAGCTGAAAACCTGTTATTTCTTGACTCTCCTGTTGGAGTTGGTTGTTCCTGTTCAAACACTTCATCTGATCATCTCAACAATGGTTACGCTCGGACAGCTGCGGATTCCCTTGCATTTTTAGGGAAGTGGCTTGAACAATTTCCGGAGTATAAAGGAAGAGATTTTTATATTACAGGAGAGAGCTATGCTGGTAAAATTAATTTTCTAAGCTTTCTGTGAAATTTCTATTTCCAATCATTTTCTGGTTAGATGTATTCCGTGCAATATGATTAGATACTCTAGTCGATTGATGGTGACCAAATTTATTGGGTGCATTGCAGCAAAATAAGTAGCTGGTCATCAAGATGAAATTACCTCTCTTATCCTTACAGAGGAAATCTTAAGTATTTCAGGGATTCAATTGCTCGTGTATATATATATATATATATATATATATATATATATATATATATATAAAGTTGGGAATAGAAAAGATGATGTGGCACCTCTATAAGATTAGGATTGCCATTTATCTTTTTTCTCCTTTTTTTTTTGGCCTTTCTCTCATTTTTCTGTTCTATTCAATTTAATTCTTTTGGTTAGAAATCCAAAAGTCACAACTTTCCATTCAATTCAATTTAACCGTTCTAATTTATTCAATTCAAATCAACCATTGCAATTAATTAGGAATGTAAAACGTTTCTCTAATTTTAAAAAGTCAACATCCATAACTCACACCTCATCATTAGGGTTGTGACTTTTCAACTCTATAACCTCCAAATAATTAATGTGTCCCATTAAATTGCATATTTACATGCTCCGACTATTTTTACTTTCTACCAGTGATCCAATCAAGTCCACAAGAAGAGTGATCACAAAGTCATGGATTATTTCTCAAATTTTTCTTCTTTTACCTTTTTTTCATAAATCATTGATTTGATATGTTCAACATAAAAATATGTTTCGCTTACTTATTTTATTGTGGCCGAACAACTTGTGCTTGTATTACTGCATTGAGTTTCAATAGTGAGGCGTATAGTTGGCTGGCTTCTGCGAAGATTAATTTCAAGGAACACTCATGCTCCAATAGAAAATTTTCCGACTTTTACAATATATCAAGACCATCAACCATAGTGTTAATCAAGGTATGATTACTTAAACTATGAGAATATTTTTTTTACTGTGTTTTATCCCGTTAATTTTTGTGAAAGTAGCATTCCAAGGAACTAACACGAGCTTGGAACTGTCGGGAGTTTCTCACGATCCAAAGTAATCTAATTTACTCAAACAGCTTAATGATCTCAGAATTAAAACTTTTCAACATATAATAACTTGGCATAATCATATTTTTGGTTTGTGCTTGGAATAGGGAAAATGGAACCGGCACTTACAAGGCAGATATAAAATTATAAATGAAATATTACATGTAACAACGAATAATGTATGCAGGAAATCAAAATCTTTCTGAAAGATGAAGTAGGAAGCATCGAATTCGCACACGAAGAGAGAAAGGTACGAGAGAGATGGTATTAAAATTTGTGGAGAGGGGAAGTAATGTGATTTGAAAATTGAGCTATTTTAAGGCACGAAGAATTGAAAGGAAAAACAATTGAAAAGGCAAGAAAAGAAGAATAATGAAAAAGATAAAAATAATACTACTTGGTAGAAAAGAAATAAGAAATGATATGGACAGAGAGAGCAACTTACGTTGCCATTTATTTATTTGTTTTTTTCTCTCTTTCTGTTTGTAGTTTCCTTACTTTTTAATTTTTCCTGATATTCTCTTTTTATTTTATCGTTTCATTTATTTGACTAAAAGAAAATTCTATAATTTAAAAAGTTTTACTATCTAATAAACAAAACTATCAGGTGCTTATAAACATGTATCTTTAATATATAATTTGACTAAGAGAATTATGCATACACACAAAACACGTAATTTATGTGTGTATATATACATGTGTGTGAAAAGTTTGCCAACTATCTCTTTTTCCTTTTCCTTTATTTAAAAAAAAATGATAAAATGAGGTTCATCTAAGCTCTTATTCGAAGAGAGAAATCAGGTTTGTGATTTCAACTATATATAAATTAATTTCATATACACATACAAGATAAGTATTAATTTTTCTATCGCAACTGAAAATATAAAAATATTTTTTAATATTTTTTCTAAACTATGTCTTTGATAATCGCGCGAAGCGCGAACAAGTTTACTAGTTAATATATAGATGGAGTTGTAAATATCCTTTACTAGCTAACAACTCACTAATTAAAAAACTCACTAATTAATATCATTTGCTCGATGCCGTAATTGACAGTAGCGATTCAAGTACTGGTTTGTCTCACTTTCCTAAAGGGATTGTCAAGAGATCATATTGTCTTACTTCATTATGCATTGCATTCATTTATACATGTGCATTTATCCACGACTCAGACGGCGTTATATACGAGTATATATGTATATATATGTATATGGGATATGGGAAAAGGTTACGGCGTTATATACGCATCACCACCTGATTAGCTGGTATACGTTGATGATTTTGCCCACAGTGGCCGAGATAATATGATGGGATGCTCTCAGAGGCTTGATGAGTTATGAACACATGTACCTATGCACGACATGACATTCATACGCATATGCATGACACTATAAGTATTTCATGATTTACAGAGTTATCCAGACTTACAGTCATGCCTGCAGGTATAGACAATTAGTTTGACGAGCCCTCATAGTAGATGAGGTCAGCATTCAGCTAAGGACCGGTAAGACTCTACCTTATTCGGAGTGCAGCCGAGTCTATGAGTCATCGTGTCAGAGTTTTGTTACAGACTTATCGGTAGACAGGTACCCTGTCTCATTTAGTGTCAAAAAAAAATCTTAGAGGCTTTGTAGACAGAGGTTCATTTTGTACAATATGTCAGAGGCCTTGACGGCCCATATGTATTCATGTTTTAAGAAAAATGGTACAATGATACAATGTTGCCCACTTATAGTTATACATTACGAGCTGTGGCCATGTTGGCCCATGATAGTTTCAAAGAAGAAAAAAAATAAAGAATTGCAGAGTGGTTCGCTCGGGCCAGTACGGCACCGGGTGCCAGCCACGCCTCCCTAGGTTGGGGCGTGACAAAGTGGTATCAGAGCAGGTCGTGTCCTAAGGAGTCGACAAAGTCGTGCCTAGTAGAGTCTCACTTATGGGTGTGTTTCGCGCCACATTTATAATTGAGAGGCTATAGGGTATTTAGGAAATGTTACCCTTCTTTTGTTTTTAGATCGTACCATAGAGCTAAGTCGTAAGAGGTCACTATAAAGTTTCCACTGAATTTTGTATGCACTAAAGGCTCTATCACAATAGAGCTTTAAGGCGTAGATGTAATTTCTACTAATGTGGAAGGGAAGTTATGAAAGAAACAGAAGATACGATATATTATTGAAAGGTAAGTAACCTAAAGGTGAAGAAGAGCGCATGTCAAAATATTAACCCGTTTTAATTCGAGCGGAGTCGAATTTCTCCTTTTGGCGATGGCCGTTGGCCGTTGGCCGTAGGGGTGTTATTTCGAGCAAATGTCAAAATGTTAACACGCTATAATTCGAGTGGAATCGAATTCTCCTTTTGGCGATGGCCGTAGGCCGTAGGGGTGTTATTTCGAGCAAACGTCGAAATGTTAACGTGTTATAATTCGAGCGGATTCAAATTCTCCTTTTGGCGATGGCCGTTGGCCGTAGGGGTGTTATTTCGAGCAAATGTTGAAATGTTAACCCGTTGCGTCATTGTTATGTATATTTTTCGGGGAACTTTACGCGTCGCCGTACTGTTCGTGCGTGCGTCAGGGTGAGCCCCGGTGTGCTCGGTTTTTTTTTTTTTGGAGAATACCGGGCGTTCCCTGGGTGAGTCCTAGTTTGCTTAATTTTGCTTTTATTGGAGAGTTATTCTGCACTTTTCGGGTAAGTCTCAGTTTGCTTAACTTCGCTTCTATTGGAGTTGTTGTACACTTTCTAGGCGAGTCCCAGTTGGCTTAACTTCGCTTCTATTAAAGAGTTGCTTGTTTTTTTTAGTTGTTTTGTACCGAGCCATTTCTATTATTTAAGATATGCTGCGGGGTGGTATGCTACGAAACTATCTCAGGGGTGTTTTGGAGGCGGTGGTCCCTCGCTCGCTTGCTCGTGCGAGTACTCGCATTCATGTTTGAACCAACAAAAGAGTGAAGATAAACCAAATGAAATTTTCTGTTACCTCGCCCAACAAGTCAGTGAAAGAAGGAGCGACGTTGTAGGGTTACTCACTCCACTTGGTGCTCGAATGGTGGCCTTAGATTTGGCGGCCGTTTTCGGCTTCATCGTTGACAGCGCCTAGGCTTTTCATGGGTTGGGCCTACCTCACTCGCTGAAGTGTTGAAATCGAGTCTCGGTCGATCTCGTTCGATTTGCACAAATAACAAGGAACATGTCACACTTCGTTCATAGTCCATCTATGGCGTGTGAGGGAGTGTGCAAATAGGGTAGATACGTCAAATGGGGTTGCGGTCATGCCAGGCAACCGTGATCCCATTTTAGACGTGCATATGTCGTGCTAGACACATCGTTACAGGTGAGACGTGAGTTTTTCATAGACATTGGTTATAACTTCTATTTTATGCAGCAACCTGACTTAGATTGGTGCGGTCGTCTCGGAGGCTTACCTACCACTCTTTCGAGTTAGTGGTAGTGCCGAGAAGGTGAGGCCACGACAGCCTGGTAGCGATATTTTGCTGGTTCTGGATCTAAAGGAAACTAAAAAATTTGGCTAAAAAATTCCCACAGACGGCGCCAAATTGTTTAACCAAAAAGTCGTTAAACCTCTAGTTAAACCAATTAGTAGAGAGATAGAAGGTAAATCTTAGCCAAACGTAAGCGACTCTAGATCGCAACATATTGAGTATAAAAATTGGAGAAGAACAAAATGATTTAATATTTCTTTTAATGGCTATCATACATCAAGTGGAAAATGGTAAGCTTACATCTGTGACAAGCTTATATTACAATTGAAGGAGCATAAAAGAAGAAAAGGAAGCTGTTGATAGCTGGGACATCTTTCCCTCACGGTTTCGTAATATTTCTCCTCCCTGTGATAGCGAGATCTGGATCCCCCCTGATGGCTTCATGTCCCCTATATATATTGACAATGTCCCCTTTTATCCAACGGTCTTTGACCGGCGCACTTTTCCATGACTGTCCTTTATTACTTGTCCAAGACAACACACTTGTTCTGCGATATAAGCTTTCTAACGGGCTGACCCCAGCAGGGACCATGGGGCCCGTCGCCAATAACGTCCAACTGAACAAATCGAATCAGCAAATAAGAAATCCCTAAAAAGAAAAATAACAGCAAACTTAACATATCAACCATGTGGTTATCGTAATGAATCAAATATGGAACTACATAAAATCAGCATAAACCTCAATTTCTTATTAAAGTACTTTACATTCAAGAAATTTGGAGCAGGAGAAACCAAGAGAATACTAAACAATCGAAGAGAGAGAATTAATGGTGGCTATCAAGTGGCCCACGAAATTACTTATTTAGTCATTCTATGAACAAGACAAATCAGCTACCAAAGGGACATAACAGGAATTTACCTGATAGAGGAGCATTGTAAATACCAAATTGCCCTCCGTTGCCATGCAGAGATGTCGACGGAGAGGTGCTTCTGCGCTCTTCTATATAGTAGCCTGAGATGTATTTTTTTTTCAAAAGTGCTTTTTTAGTCATTCTCTGAACAAGACAGATCAGCTACTAAAGGGACATAACAGGAATTTACCTAATAGAGGAGCACTGTAAATACCAAATTGCCGTCCGTTGGCCCGCAGAGATGTTGACGGAGAGGCGCTTCTACGCTCTCCTATAATAGCATGAGATGTATTTTTTTCAAAAGTACTTTTGGTGAGAAGTAGTTTGTGTTTAGCTGATTTATTTAAAAATTACTTCTGAGCAACAATTAGTATTTGGTCTAACTTTTAAAAACTGCTTCTAAGTGTATTTTTCTCAAAAGTGCTTTTGGAGAGAAGCTTCTTTTTTCTGCTTCTCCAAAAGTGCTTCCGCTTCTCCTCAAAAGTATTTTTTTTCACTCTAAAAGCTTGCCAAACACTCTAACTTTGAAAAAAAAAAAGCGATGCTTTTGGCTTGGAGAAGTTTGGCCAAACAGACTACAAGAAGAATTATTTGAAATATAACTATCATTTGTAAGATAATTGAGAAATAGTTATAGCCTAAAAATACGAAAAGGTAGTTGAACAGTAGTCATACGGACTTCTAGAAGGTTTCCTAAAGTTTGATCTATCTGTAATGGTCTGGCCGGTCGTTTTGAGAGTTAGAGCTCCGATCCCCTATTAAGTGCTTTCCCTATATCTATTTCTGCTATTGTGACTTGACGGGATGATTCGTTTTGAGTTTCGGAGTGTTTTGCGACACATAGTCCCTAAATGGGAGCTTTAGTCTTAAGATTTGGACCGCAGTCGGAACTGTGTGAAGACGACTCCAGAATGGAGTTTCGTCAATTCCATTAGCTCTGTTGGATGATTTTGGGCTTAAGGGAATTTCTGGATTGTGTTTTGGAGGTTCGTAGCTTATTTATGCTTGAAATAGCGAAAGTAAATTTTGTAGAGATTCGGACCGGTAGTGGATTTTTGATATCGGGATCCGAATCCAATTTTGGAAGTTGGAGTAGGTCCGTAGTGTGAATTATGACTTGTGTGCAAATGTTGAGGTCAATCGGACGTGATTTGGTTAGTTTCGGCATCGGTTGTCGAATTTGGAAGTTTCAAGTTCGTTAAGGTTAAATCGGAGGTTGATTGATGTTTTTAGCGTTGTTTGATGTGATTTGAGCGCTCGACTAAGTTTGTATGGTGTTTTAAGATTGATTGGTATGTTTGGTTGAGGTCCCGGGGGCCTCGGGTGAGTTTCGGGTGCTTAACGGATTGGTTTGAGACTTATGCAATTTGCTGAAGTTGTTGTACCTGGTGTATTCGTGCCTGCGCACTTTGGGCCGCAGGAGCGGAGCCACAGAAGCGGCTAAGCATCCGTAGAAGTGGATTTTTTTGACCCTGTCCAGTTGGATCCGCAAATGCGATGAGGAGTCCGCAGAAGCGGAGGCGCAGAAGTGGTTGGGGACCGCAAAAGTGGGCTTGCAGGTGCGGCCCAGTGCTCGCAGATGCGGTCCCAGCCCACTTAAGTGAATTCCGCACCTGCGATGGAATTTCCGTAGGTGCGGCGCCGCAGGTGCGAAGAAGGGTCCGCAGGTGCGGTTTGACCGGCAGAAAAGGGCAAAATCGAGGGTTTGATTTCATTCTCCCTTTTTGGACCTAGAGAGCTCGGATTGAGGCGAAATTTCGAGGGATTTTCAGAGGAAGCTTATGGGTAACGATTCCTTACTCGATTTTGGTTGCATTTCATTAATCTATTGTTGTTTTCTTCATTTAATCAAGGGATTTGAGTGAGAAAGTTGAGAAAATGGGGAAAAAGTTCCTTTTGGCACGAGTGAACTCATGAGTGAATGGGTGTTCATAATTTGTGATTTTACCCGATTCCGAGACGTGGGCCCGGGGAAGATTTTGGGCGTTTTTCTATTTTCTTGCCTTAACTTTGATTTCATTAGCTAGATTAGTTACTTGTAGCTATATTTACGTTATGTAATTAATTTGGCTAGATTTGGGCCATCCAGAGTCGATTATTGGTGGAAAGAGCATCATGACGGATTGATTTGAGCTGAGTTCGAGGTAAGTGGCTTGCCTAACCTTGTGCGGGGGAACTCCCCTTAGGATTTTGGTATTGTTTGATATGTGAGCGCCGTGTACGTGAGGTGACGAGTACGTACACGAGTTATTTCCTGTAAAACTCCGTTTTTCCCACCAAGTCTTAACCTGTTTTTCCTTGTTGAAACTACACTAGTATATGTAATTACCTTGTTTAGATTCGAAAAGCATGCCTACGTGTTTTAACTGTTTATTTGAACTCCGTGCAGCATATTTTAGTGAAAATTACCTGTTTTCTTTGATATGAACTTAGTCTAAACTGTAGATTTCCTTGTTGAAACTGTTGTTTATATTGATTGAGCTGCATATTTACTTTGGGACTACGGAACGGTATTTCGGGAGATCCCCCCAACACTGCATATTTATTTTGGGACTACGGAACGGTATTACGGGAGACCCTCTTGCACATTTACGTTTAGGGCTATAGGACGGTATTCCGGGAGATCCCCATGTTGCTATTTACTGTGTTATGTGCCATTGGCTTCCATTGAGTTCTATTCCTGTTAGATTTCCGTACTTATTTTACTATAATATCCTTTCTGTCTTATTTCATTATATTTATACCAGTAGTGCCCTGACCTGATCTCGTCACTACTCGATCGAGGTTAGGCTTGGCACTTACTGGGTACCGTTGTGGTGTACTCATGCCCTTTCCTACACATGTTTTTCGTGTGCAGATCCAAGTACCGCTTATCAGCCACATTTCCAGTGAGGCGAGCCAACTGTAGAGACTTCAAGGTATATGAGCCGCGTCCGCAGACCTCGAAGTCCCTATCTATTCCACGCTATGTCAAACACTTCTTGTATTTTCTTCTTTTATTAGACTTTGGAGTATGGGAGTGTTGTTTCTTTCTTTAGCTTGTGACTTATGACATTCCGGGTTTCGGGAGAGTTTATGTACTGTTCGAAAGCGATTATTGTATATGCCGATCGACATCTCATTCATTTCTCTGTTTAAATTTACCTGATAGTTGATAGCTGTTATGTTTTTCGTTCCTTTTTCCGCAAATGTTAGGCTTACCTAGTCGTAGAGACTAGGTGCCGTCATGACGGTTCACGGAGGTAGAACTTGGGTCGTGACACTATCACACAAATTTTAGGAGTTTTTTTAGACTAGGAAAATTTTCGGGGCATTTGCATATATACCCATTTTTTGGAGCGACCACTGAATTTATACCTCATTGCACAAAATTTTGCAAAGTGTACCCGCTCGGATCTGAAGTAGTTCAATCTCTTTAGTGCAACTTCATAAATCAAATATGAAGTTCTCCTATCTTTCAATTGCAACTTCAGAAATTCAAATCTTAAGTAGTTCAAGCTCTTCAAAGCAACTTCAGATTTTGAACCTGAAGTTCTTCTATCTTTCACTTGCAACTTCAAAAATTCGAATCTTAAGTATTTCAGTTTTTCAGTACAACTTCTTATTCAAAATCAAAAATCTTGAGTAATTTAATTTTTCAATACAAATTCAAAATCAGATTCAAAATCTGAAATTCTGAAACATAAACTTATTCTTCGAATTTCAACAACCAAATGAGCTCAAATTTGAAACATGACTTTCAAATATCATAAAAAATAAATCCCAATCATCATATAGTTAAAACATCAACAAATTAACAAACTCATTTTGCAACTAAGAAGAAGAAGAAACCCTAAATACAAAGAAGAAGAAAGCAACTGTGAAGAAGAATAGAAAAATATATGTATATAAAGTTACTAAAAAATTAAATATCAGTTAAATATTTTTTAAAAAGTGAATATAGATTCAATCGGTGGCGCAAAATTAGGCGCCGCATGAAAAATTTACAAAATTCCTAAAAGATTGAATTGCCACAATTGAAACTTTAGTAAAATTTCATAACGCTCATGTGCCATTTCTTAAAAGACAATTTTAAGAATTAATTCAAATAGCCATTCATATAATCACTTAAACAAAAATTATTTTCGTCACGTACAATGTATGTATATATAATATGATATAATTAATATATAATATATATATACCCATTAATAAATTAACAATCCATACGGCTACTTGTATAAAGATATCTTTATTTTTTTGTCACGCTCGTAAACGTGGCCTTTTCGCCTCATCTAGTGCAACAGTTTCTTTTAAAGAAAAAAAAATACCTATGACAACGGTTCACCAAAATAGGCTTTCCCTCCGTTGGGTTTTCTCATCTAATTTCCCCTAATTCCAAGAACACTTTTCCCTCCCTCTTCCCCTAGGCATTTGCAATTGGTGTTGGTGATGCCTTCTCATCTTCAATTGCTCCCCCAATTCTTCATATCTAAACTTTTCAGTTAATCTCCATCTTAGTGGAACAATTTATCAGTAGTTGGCAGAATGAAAACAAAGAGAACATAGAGAACTCCCCACCGCAAATCTCTTTGCCTTACTTCTCTCCTCACCCTTTATTCGCTTCCGGGTAAATCAATTTTCCCCTTGTTCTTCTGTTTCTCGTTTCTCTATACATTTGGTGAATCTGTGTATTATAGCTTTTGTGTTTTATTTTTACTTTGTGTTTGTTTAAGATCGTCGAAATTGTTCTCTCTTGTAACTATCTTGTTCTGGTTTTATGGGTAATGCGTGATATAAGTAGATCTTACGATATAGTTCAAAGTTGTTTGGTTGTTTGCTTACATGTAATCGGTAATGAATGACTGAAACTTGACTCATTGCCTGCATGTAACTTGTTATGTGTGCAGTTGAGGTTTTATTTAGAAATGAATTGGCAAACAAACAAACTAATCTCCCAATGGTACTACATTTGTAGTCAGAAATATGGAAAATTTCTTTAATGCGTTTGATGATTATCATCTTCAATCCTATTAGGTTTAATAGATCAAATCAAGTTAACTGTCCTTTAAATTTCAAAATACTGATCTATCATAGCTAATCACCTTGATTACCCTTTAAAATTTCCACGGTTTATCAACTTGATACACTATAATTTTTTTAATTTATGCTGGTACATGCTCTAGTTTAAATGGAGTAACATGGTCAGTGGGGATTCATATAGACAATGCCAACTTGTTTGGAACTGAAGCATAGTAGTAGTAGTTGTGTTGTCATCATTGTTTATGCTAGTACTCTCTCTCTCTCTCTCTCTCTCTCTCTCTCTCTCTACCAAAATAAACTTGTTCCATAGCCCAAACTTTCCCTGTTTGTTTATATTCTAATTACAAATCTGTCAAATAAAACAGATCTGAGTGCTTGGATAAGTATATATTAGGCAGTATAATTCATGAATATCCAAGACTTTTGAATAATACTACTCCCATCAAACTAATTGAAGTCGTCTTCTGTCTGAACATCTAAAATAAACCTAAAAAAGTCAGAGTATGTAGGAGCCGACAGAAGGTCCTTGACGAAATTCTGGTGGTTTAAAGGAGTTTTGAAAGTTAAAAGCGTCTGAAAAGGTCTCTTTGTTTCCCTATTATTTAGCTTTTCAGTTTCACATGAACATGTTCTGGGTGAGCATGCTTGAGCTCAGGTACTGAAATATTTCTAGAGTTTCATTTATGCTCATTTGTTTGTGTCAGTGAATCCTTTATGCTTGTTAAAGGCTGTGTTGCTCAGATACGGATGCAGGTGTCCGATTCGGGTGTAGATCTAGAGGCTGGATTTGTCATCACATGGATTTTGGATTTGGGGGTATAGATTCAAGTGCGGATATGAGTGCTAGGATACAACTAATAAATTTAGTATAAGAATAATATATATGACAATTAGTTATTTAAGACTGTTGAAAAATAATTTATATGTCGATTAACAAGGTGATTTAAATCCATTAATTTAATTAAGTTAAATGAAAATGTCTATTGTATAATTATAAATTGCTATAAATATTGGATTTTATAAATATAGTAATACAACATATATAACATTTTAAACAGATAAAAGTAGTTATTCTATTAGAAATTACTTCAAATCTATCATTATATATTTATGCTTCTTTAGCTTTGTTAATAACTAGAAAGCAAAAAGTATTTGTGATAGAAATAACCGTGTTTTAATAACTAGATAGCAAAAAGTATTTGTGGTAGCAAAAAGCATTTTTGGTAAATATTAAACTCTTTGTAAAGACTACGTCATCAAAAAAGGTTTCTTTGTAAACACATAATATTTATTATGTTATATTGTGTAATAGCAAAGTTTTCTAGGTACTTTATGTGAATATAATTATATCAGAAACCAGAAATCAAACCAAATACCCTATCAACCTATACTTCTTAGCCATAAGTAAAGTCAAAGCATCCAAGTTAGGTTGACCAAATCAATGTTGTCAAAGGCTCATTTAAGGCGCGCTTAAGCCCTAAAGCTCAAAAAAGCTCAGGGAGGGCGCTACGCCTCACATAAGTTGCGCTTCAGTATAGGAAGGGCACCAAGACATGCCCCTTGTTGCCCATGAGTTCTATCTTGAATGGAGCAATGCTAGACTACAAATATAATCAGCAAATAAGTGTATTAGTTGTTAAGGAAAACAATATAAATGAATTTGTTACTTTTCTCTTGAATTACATATATATTTTTATTTTTTTCTTGCATTGCGCCTTTTTAACTAAAGCCCCTACTTAAATTGCGCTTCGCGCTTAAAGCCCCAATTGACCTAGAGCGCTTTTTCAAGCTTTTCGCCTTTGACAACACTGGACCAAATGCAGTGCAGATTGTACACCCACACCCAAATCATGTCGGATTAACACAGTTTTGACAAAGATTTTGAAGGATCCTAGCATCATAGGTTAAAAGCTACTTCAAGTGCTCATTGATTTTTATGTCTCTGTCCACATTATTTTATTCAACTGCAGTTCATATCGCATTTTCTACATAGCATTGTGTGACCTATGATATAATGAATTCCATTTCTGGCCAAGTTACTTTAGCTTTTATCATCTTTCTGTAAAACTCCCTGAATTTTAGAGGAACTGCAATAATTAGTGAAGATGATACAATCCCGTGAAGTTGACATGCGGAACTCTCACCATAGTTACTTCACGTCTGACATGATATTTCACTCTTGCTGTGGACGATTGCCTTTTAGTAAATCTGCATCTCATCTATGCTTCTATAATTCCCAGCAGATCTCTAAAGGAATAACCTGTAGGATGGCAGAGTGGGTTGAATTCTTGGCTTGAACAAGCCACCATTGCATTAAGATGTGTCTCCAGGTTCTGCCTACAGGTGGTATACCACAAGCATCTCCAAAGAATTTCCAGACTTGCCTAGATATGTAGCTGCTCCCAAAAGCATGTTCGATAGATTTGACTTGTGGGTTCAAGCAAAAAGAACCCTTAGATATTCCCAGAAATCCAAACTTAGTGATTATATCATCAGTAGGTAGCCTATCATTTTACTGCCTTCTAATAAATAACGATACCTTAACAGGCATCCTTGAAGGCTGTATCTTGCTGCTTCTCAAAATAATGCTCCTCATCTGTCTCAATATCTTCGAGGCACATTTACAATTGAAAACCTAGTGATTATATCATCAGTAGGTAGCCTATCATTTTACTGCCTTCTCATAAATAATGATACCTTAACAGGCACCCTTGAAGGCTGTATCTTGCTGCTTCTCAAAGTAATGCTCCTCATCTGTCTCAATATCTTCGAGGCAGATTTACAATTGAAATTACCTGTAACGGGACCGGGGGGGGGGGGGGGGGTCCTTACAAATATATCTTTAGTGTAAATACCCTTGAAAATATTTATCTCCTTTATGTCCCAGACTCCCAGTAAATGATAAATGATTAGGTGTATTTCCTGCAATTTAGTAATGGTCCAGTCATCTTCCTCAATGAATTCTTTCACCTTAATGTTACCAGGTTTAGGGTCAGTGTGAAGAAAGTGTGCAAGTGGGCCTAGGCCAGTCCAGTTGTCCCACCACTAAGAAATGTCACCCTTTGGGACTCTCCATGGAGTACTTGCTCCATTTTTTCTTTGACTTCCATTATCGTTCTCAGGTTCTCTAACAATGTGATTG